TTTTTTCTGAAATTCGGTAAATGCTTTTGGGTGAATTTCGTACAACTGAGTTTGAACGACCTTTTTTGTCGACAGGTTATGAAGCCGTTGCACTGCTTTCAAAATACGGACTGGAGCAAAGATAGTTCGAGTATAGGTAGTGGAACTCATTCTTCTCATCCTTTAGGAAGAAACTGAAGTAAATTAGTTATACTCATTCTTCTCATTTGCTGGTGGGTGGTGGCTCAAGTGTGCATGAATTCATCTTTTACAGAAATTGATTTTTTGCTGTTTGTGAATTGTGATGAATATTTGTAGTTGTGATTAATTTGTACAATATTTGTGTGCTGTTTATGAAAAAAGAATAAGATGATTGTTGGACCAATAATTGATCTGGTGATCAAGTTGAACCGACAAAGGACGGTCCAAATCGATTACTTGTTCGTGTTTTAGAGTATTGGGTAAATATTTCAGTAGATACTGGAGTAGGGCTGAAAATAAAACGAGTTGAGCCGAGCAATACCCTTGTCGAGTCGAGCTTTATTTTTTATTAGCTTGAGCTCGACGAGCCAAGCTCGTTAAGGCTCGTCTCAATTTAACAATATTACAAATACTTGAGATAGACTTGAATTTAAGGAGAATTTCATTCTATTTTAGGCTAAATTGAACTTGAATTTGGGGGTATCATGTGTAAAACCGAGCAGTTTATCGAACAATCGAGCTTACAAAATACAAGCTGGGGGTGCTCGGGCTCGAGCTGATCGCCCGACTTGTTTTCAACCCTACGCAGAGCGGCTTAGAATAGCGTTGAGGGGCCGAACTGTAATAAGTAAAAATATGGGGCAGAATTAGTGGAATACAAAAGTCAAGTGTGGTTGATGATGAAAACTGCTTTTTTGCAGCACCATTCATGTAGATATAACAATGTTTATCATGATTTTGGTATTGGACCTGTAAATAGTCTAAAAAAAGATGTTTGCATCTAAAAGGCAAAAGATTTTGCAATTGTACATTATTATTATTATTATTATTATTATTATTATTATTATTATTATTATTATTATTATTATTATTATTATTTATTATTATAAATGGGATCAAAATAATTACAAGAAATTGGAGGGGAGCCGAGATACTATCTGGGCCCCCACTCCTTTTGCAATGGAAAAGCTAATACGAGTGAAAATATGAGGAGCGGCACGTGCCCCCACATCTTGAGATACAGAATACTTCTGTATCCTCTTGAGTAGGGCAATGGTCTCCGTGTGCAACTCCCCTAATGAAGAGAAAGAGAATGAAAGAAATCCATAGCCCTTAGTTGCACACAAGGCGTCATATTTCGCACGTTTGCGACGAGCGGCATCAACCACAACACGTCCCGGAACGAAGTCAGACATCCCGGACTGGGTCAAGGGCGAGGAACCAGTCAAATCAACGCAAACGTCAAGGCCCCCATCCCATGAGTAAAGTAGCAAGTCAGCAGGGCGGAGGGGTCTATGTTGCGCATCGAGGAGCCCAATATCGACCTCCTTACCAACAGGAGCGAAAGCAGACATCTAAAAGAGTATCGCGAACAAGGTTATGGCGATGTTTAATGCCAACAACACCGGCACATGACACCGCATGGTCGCCAAATATATCTCCATCAAAGACTCGAGAGCAAGCCGAACATGGTCTGGAAATTGAAAATAATGGCACACCTAATCGATAGCAGAGCACAGCACGGTAGGTCTTACCATTCATCGTTTGCCCTAACCCAGAAATCGGGACTGCGCGGAGCCAATCAGATGCGTGATCACCCTGTTGAGACTTCCACAAGGCCACCTGCCTAGGAGATAAGGAGAGTACAGATTTCGCCGAATCAGTAACTCGAGTGAAATATATATCTGCCAATTTCTTCATGAATTTGGGGGCAGCAATCTCACTAGAAGCACTCAATAAGTCAGTATCTGCAACCCTGTTAAACACCTCCAAAGCATCACCAAAGGTAATGCCCGCATCAGCGATCCCAGAAGGAAGAAGAAGCTTATTCTGTAACCCTGCAGACTGAAGTCGGGACGCCAGAAATGCATAATTTACAACATCCCCAGCACAATAGACTCCCAGGCCTCCAAACGAAAAAGGCAAGGTGGCAAGCCGCCACTGCCAGTCACCAAACCCGGGTCCAGAAGCGGTAACAATACGCTCTAAACTAGCGCGAAGGGCCAAATCAAAAGCATGTTGCGCTGCATTAAAAACATGAGGGGGGCAAGTGCGCATGGCAAAATAGAGCTTGGAAATACCTGCGCAGGCACGGAGTAGTAACAACTCACATTGCGGATCATTAATCTTAGCAACCGCATCCATAAGCTCTATAGTTCTGGCTACTCTCTTCATCACAAGCTGAGTACTGAAGTCATCACTTACACTAACAGGTCCACCAAGGACCTTGACCCCAAGCTGAGGTCGAGCAATAGTGTCTGGGAAGACTCCAGCAAGCCGGCTCCGAGGATCCTCATTAGGCCAGAAAACCTCAGTTTTATCAACATTAAGATGTAAACTAAACTGAGGACCATCCTCCATGATCAACTGAAGAACCTTACCCACAACCAGGGTGTAAACCAAACTGAGGACCATCCTCCATTATTATTATTATTATTATTATTATTATTATTATTATTATTATTATTATTATTATTATTATTATTATTATTATTATTATTATTATATTATTATTATTATTAGTTCATCTTTCAAAATTAAATCAGCACCACATAAATATTTTGCTTCTATATATTGGCCATATTATTTCAAAAGACCAATAATGGAGGAATATTCAGGGGACCAAAAGAGTAAATTATAAAATTAAGCAGATAAAATTGATTTGTTAAAGGTAGAAATAACTATAAAATATCCCAAATTAATCCAATATTCCATTATTGTTAAAATAGTAAATATTTTTAAGCTAATTTTGTAGGGGTTATGATAATTGGAATTAGGTTTTGTGCATTCAAACTCAGCAAATTTCAACATCAAAGTAAACCTGAAATAAACAACAAATATCAGATTTTTTTTTTTGCCCTTGGTGGAGCCCATCTAAAGAAGAATATTGGTCCTCACAATTATTGTTATATTATTATTATTATTATTATTATTATTATTATTATTATTATTATTATTATTATTATTATTATTATTATTATTATTATTATTATTGAGGATGTACTATCTTTTTTGAGTGTGAGATCAACATCTCTAAAGTGACTTGTCCAAAGATGGTTTAATTATTTTAATTTTTAATTTTCCTAAATAAAATCATAATAAGAAATCTCCCATGAAATATATTAACCTGTTTGGAAATTCTATGTGATCACTTTTATTAGGCTTATAAATATATTTGACGAATTTAGCTGAAAAGCTAGTTGATAGCTGATAAGTTAATTTCGAGCGTATAAATTACAACATAAACATATTTAGTTTGGCAAATATGATGATAGCAAGGAGAAAAGTTGTAAACACTTCATATGAACTCTATGGCTTTGCCATCACCATCAAATTAGACATGGCTTATTATGAATCAAAGCCCTTTGTCTACCTAACTTAAGTCTATACATGTATATATATTTAAGCAATAATAACCAAGATTGAGTCAAAATGTCAAAATCACAACTAATTAATTTACCAATTAAGTTAATTAGGAACCCAAAAATTATAAAAGTGTAAATAGTCCAAACTTAAGGGACAAAAGTTGCAATTTTTATTTTTTAACCGTCTATATGACTATAAAGATGAATAAATTACTTGTCAGAGCATGAGTTGGCATAGCCTCATAGCAGGGCCCCCATTGATGGGTGTAGACTTAACCTAACTTCCTAGACAATTTGCCAATGCCCCATTCTTTACATCAAAACTTTTTTCACATGCCCTAAATGATCAAGTTTACATGGATGAAAAACTAAATATGCTATTAGACAGGTCTAACGATTAGAAACACGTATACGCATGTATGCATATTTTTCAAATTGTAACGTCAACGCGACATTGCATACATATGTATGCCCTTTTTTTTTGTTAACGTATCGATAGTGTTGAATGTGTAATACCGAGGTAGAGCCCAAAGTCACATCGCTCGATTTGATCTAAATTCCGAGAATCTACGATTGAGCTAGCTAATTCGGTGTTGGTGAAAGAGCTGTTTTGCATGAGTATCTACTAATCTACTATACGATTAAGCGATTTAATTTTTTTTATAGAATAGCGAGCACAATCTAAGTCACCTATACTATCATAGTAAATTACTACACATACAAAATTTCTAGATATATGAGCGTTTACTTCACCTCTCATCGCTTTATAGATCAGTGAAGTTCGAGTTTATGAATTTGTGAATAACGAACGTAAGAGAATTCGGCCCAAATTCAAAGAACTAGCACATCAAATTCAATTTAAATTAAAATTGCCACTCAATATATAGTAGGAAGAAAATTAGGAACCTAAGTTTTTTGTTTTTCATAGAACCGCTCACCTGCCCATGGTGGACAGTGCCCACTACTTTATTTTACATGAAAAACGTATTCTGAGAATACGTTTTCCAATTAAATTTAATTGAAAAACGTATTCTTAGAATACGTTTTTCATGTAAAACAAAGTAGTGGGCACTGCCCACCGTGGGCAGGTGAACGGGACTATTGTTTTTCATGGTTTAGGAGTGGGATATTGATATGTGATGTTATATGCCCACTCTTCATGACATTTGACAATCTAATGCGAGTCTTTTCTAGCATTACAAATATTCTTATTCCTTACACGCTCTTCTCGAATGATAACCAAAGATTGCTATTTTTTTTAAAAAAAAAAAAAAAATCGTGGAATATTTGTTCGTATGTACTTTTTTCTCCTTAATCACACCATGCTTAATTAATTTATAAAATTCATTATTATCATGTGATTATTTTAAAATTCAACATTAATCTACACTCATATCTTTGACAATATGCAAAAATTTAATTAAATATTTAGATAATTCAAAGCATATGTAAATGTAAATGCCTTACGTATAACTAGTTCATATAATAATTTACACATATATCTAAAATATTTAAATATGTATTTCTATTTATTCTACAAATATACTTAAATATTATTAAAATTATATTTTAAAAAATAATTTGTTTGGTAAATTGTAGAAACGGCAACAATTTGAAGTATTCAATCCATACCAATATAATAATTATACTTAGACAAGTAATTTGGAGGTAATGTGGCATTAGTTGTCTCAAAGTAGGTAACTTCAACTTATCTCTCTCGGTTTTGTTATGAATCCAACAGTTGACTCTATAGTTGAACCAAACTTCTATATGCAACAAATAAATCATACTATATTAATAAAATTATATAAGTGTTATTTAAGTAATCAGAGATTATGGTAGGTCCATTTGTTATATATATATAGAAGGTTGACTCTGCTATGGAACCAACTGCTGGTTTCATAGCAAAACCGTTTATTTCTCTATGTGAAATGGCATTAAGTAATAATATCCCTTTATATCATGATAATGCCCATAAAAAATATGAAGACAGCAATTAAATCATATACCTGACTTCTAAATTATAATAAATCAGAATATTTAAAATTGAAAACTATTTTTTTTTTTTTTAAAAAAAAATCTAACTTGATTACTTTCATATAAATATATATATAGACAACCACAAGTGGAATTCTCCTCCATCCCTATACCCTTTGCTCATTTGTGAAACAAACAGAAACAGAAAAAAAAAAATAAAATAAAATAAAAATTCTTAAGCTTGTCTTAATTTCCTTACCAGGTTAGCAACACTACAAAAACATGATATAATCTCATATTATTTCCTATCCAAATCATTCAAAATTTCTATCAAGTTCCCAATTTTCTTGATTAATTACCCTTTTCTACCCATGAAGAATAATACCAAATCCATCCACAAATTTTATTTTAAT